CCAACTCAATAAGGCCATCTAATGGTCCATATCTGAATGTCCCCAATTGGCCCTTGTCTCCTTAGTCTTTGTTACTCCCCCTTCTTTTTATATAACATTGAGTGTGTTAAAGAGTCCAAATCACTTGTCCCATGGATGCTACATTTATCTGATGGCATCCTGATGACCACTGGGTGAACATCTTTGGCAAGAGCCCTAGCTGGAGGTGTTGTGTGCCTCCTAGGGGCCATGCTGGGAAGTACGATGTCTTGGTGGAGCCAGGCTTGATCACGCGGTTCACACGGGACCCCTAGCTCTGCTACAGAGGAGCCTCTCCCCCACTGAACACTACGTGATCCATGGAGTGATCCTTTGAGACCACGTGAATGTCTTGCTCCCTTCCTGTGGTTTTTCCATTCTTCCATGATCCTTGGCTGGACTGATTAGTACTTTGAGCATCACAACGTGGTGATTTTTCTGACCCCATCACTCTTTCCTCACATATTGACTAGCACTTTCTATGAAGCACTTTTCCCTTCTTCCATTTCTTAATATCACTCTGGACTCTTGGGTCATTTTTATTCAGTGTGTTGTTATCCATTTCTGTCAGCATCCTCATGATGCTTGCATTTGGCCCTGTCACCCTCCCTTGTGAGCTCCGACGGGGGCCTGCTCCCAGGGCAGGGGTGGAGGGAGGTGAACCATATCTCCAGGTCCCACCTTCATCTCCTGGTGGTATGTGCTGGCTAGTGAGCCAGATGGGGCTGACCTCAGGTTAGGCCTTGCCCAGGGGCCCCTGAGCTCCCCCACAAATCCAGACAGAAGAGGTAGGACCCCTTCCTCTGGTTTGTCCAGGGTCCAGCCTGCCTCCTATGTCCTGTCCGAGGATACACTGAGATGAACTCCACCAGAAATACCTCCCCCACTTTACCACGGGGCTGTGGCCTCCTGTCCTCAGGGCTTTCAATTGGTTATTGATCCAGTCTGAGCCACTCCTCCAAAGTGCACACAGAAGATACGGCGGGGGGCTGGGAGGCTAGTGGCTTTTCAGTGTAGCCCCTTTTTTCTTGCTACACAAGCCCAGTGGCTTGATTTTCTTTTCTCTGCTGAGAACCTTGGCTCCTGTCGGGCTAACTGGACCCCCAAGGTGTGAGCAGGAAGTGTTTGGACAAAGGAAATCCCAGCTCCAGGAGGCTTAGACAAACTTGTTTAAACGTGAAAAAGCAGCCTAGAGTCTAGGAGAATCAAAATCTTTTTTTCAGGTTAACGTGTGTGTCATATTTGGCTTTTATGTTGCTAACAGATAATTTTCAAAAAAGGAAAAATTGTGATTCTTTTATAGATGCAAAGTGAACAAGGGGTAAGAGACTTAATTTAACTTATGATGGAAGACTCAAACCAAACAGCAGACACAGGCACAGATAAGGAACAACGAAAGGCCCATGTAAATGGAGGCAGCGTTGTGTTTCATCAGTGTGAGGGGGAAGACAGTGGACTCTGTGTGCCTGGGGAGAGGCTGGAGCTTGGGCTGACTGTGGTGCAGATGGGGCGCTGGCCATTGGAATTCCTGGCAGCCACCCAGACTGGCTTGGTCTCACTGCACATGCCAGCTGCAGATCCCCAGACTCCCGGCTCACGACAATGTGATCTGTGTGGACACAGAGCTCAGTGTCTCTGTGGGGTAGTGACTGTCTCCTGGGGGACATGCTGCCGTATCCAGGCAAAGTGGCTGAGCCTGTCTCTGACACCTGGTCCCAGAGATGGTCAGAGCTGTCACAGCCTTACCCAGCACCAAAACCTTGCACATACACAGTGAACGAGCCCTATCGGCTGTACTCTGCAAATTCTACTAGAGAGATTAAATCCACGGACTGCTGTCATACCTCCCACTATCACCTCTTTAGTCCTAGCTCCTTCACAGGAACTGTCAAATCCACCCCATGGCCCCGCTGCTCTGATGGGACAGAGGCCAGAGAAGGAGCACATCCCAGTCCCACCTCTGAGCCATGTGCACCCAACCGCCCTGCTGGGTGCTGTCGTCCTTCCTTCCTACAGGGAGGACCGAGACCCAGGAGAGAAACGATGGGCCCAGCCCCCAGTAGGGGGCAGAGCCCGAGCAGGGGCTTGAGTCTGTAAGGACAAAACAATGTAGAAATTAGAGGCTTAATTCTCCCTGTTGGAAGTGGGGAAGAGATTGCCCTCCCCTCTTTTTTCTAAGAGCACTTACTTTAGAACATGGGTAATTGTAAGTACTTATTCCTCTCTTGGAAATGTGTATAAATCTTTTAGAAGAGAGACATGGCGTTTTGTCAGATTTATGCCCCAGGAGTGTCTTTCTCAGGAGCCTTGGAGCCATCTCTTTGAAATGTAAGCATCAAGAAAGATAGAGCCCCCTTCTCGTGGTTTCCATGGGTGGGTAGGAGCCTAACTTCTGTATGGGGGGAGGTCTGTGGAGCCATCTCTTTGAAATGTAAGCATCAAGAAAGATAGCGCCCCCTTCTCGTGGTTTCCATGGGTGGGTAGGAGCCTAACTTCTGTATGGGGGGAGGTCTGGTTCCAAGTTGCAAAACCACCTCCTGACTTAGAGATGTGAGAAGTTTGTTTCTCCTCTGGATAAAGCCAATTAGCACCACTGGATGGCCACCCCAATTGCCAGGTAGGTGAGCTACGCACAAAGGGTTTTAGGAGTTCTGTACTAGGAAACAGGGACAAAGACCTGATATGTATTTTTAACCATATCACAATGGGTAGCCTGGAGTTTGTCACCCGTAGTCCCTGTGACTGCCTTCCTGTGTCAGCCCAGCTCTAGCTTTCTTGTGGCTTTCAAACCTGGCTGAGTATTATAGTCACCTGGGTGCATGGAAAACCTACAACTGGGCCCCACCCCGGCCCGTTTTGTCACAAGAAGTGATTTGATATACAGCCAAGTTAGAGAGTGAGCAGTTTAGGGTGGTCCCCACCCCAATATTTTCTGAGTGGTGGGCATGTCTTCTGCTGTCCACACAAGCCCCTTTCAACCATCCCTAAGTGTATGCTAACGAGGTGATTCTTGGTGGCCTCTAGGTAGCTTCAGATGGTGCTGATCACCAGAAGGGCCAACCATGTGATTAGAGGGTTGGAAGTTTCAGCCACTCACATCCCTACTTCTGGGGGGGGGGAGAGAGGCTGGAGATTGAGCTCACTCACCAGTGGCATGATTTAATCAATCATGCCCATGTAGTAAAACTTTGATAAAAACTCTGGAGCTTAGAGTTGGTGAACACATCGATGTGCCAGGAGGTTGGTGCACCCCAATCCCATGCAGATAGACACTCTGCACCCCCCAAGCCTCAATCTAATCCTACATGCCTCTTCATCTGGCTGTTCCTGATCTGTATCCTTTATGGTGAAAGAATAATCATAAGGAAAGTGCATTCAGTGACTTCTGCAAGTCATCACAGCAAATTACTGAACTGAAGGGGTCATGGGAACCCCCAAATCCCCCATGCATGCTCAACTCCTATTCCTGTCTCCTATTCCTGTCTCCTATTCCTGTCCCAGGGCTGGCCGCACCTCTGGAGGGTGTCAGACCCGGAGATCCGGCTGGTGTCCCCACAGCCAGGTGGGGAGGCTGCTGCCGACCCAGAGGTGCCACCATGGCCTCGTACTGTTGCTGGAGGTTGCCTCCAGCTTGGTGAGCCTAGCTTGGCTTTCTGTGTACACAGGCTCATCACCACAGGGGATTGTCTTGCTGGCCCAGGAGCTCCTAGGGCGAGGCACGCATTTGCCTTGTGCATCCTGCAGAAACCCAGGGCAGTCGGACAAATAGACAGAGAGACATGAAGCAGAGTGAATTTTTTATTAGCAGCAGGTAGGAGGCATCATGTGCTCTCTGGATCCAAGAGAGAAAGTTCTTGCTGAGCAGACTTGGGTTGGTCACTCCTGGTAGCGAAGTGCTCCCTTGGAAAGCCCCTCACTGAAGGGGGTCCTCTGTAGAGGGACACGAAGGCCTCATGTGGGGTGTGGCGCTCGGCCATGGTGGGGCAGGGGAGGGAGGGAGGTCACTTACTGTAGTTCATATGCTAATGTGTTCACGCCCACTGGCCCAGGACCTGCACCTCCTAAGAAGTTGGTGGGCAGCACCTTTCTGGTTGTGCCGGAGATCCGGCTGGTGTCCCCACAGCCAGGTGGGGAGGCTGCTGCCGACCCAGAGGTGCCACCATGGCCTCGTACTGTTGCTGGAGGTTGCCTCCAGCTTGGTGAGCCTAGCTTGGCTTTCTGTGTACACAGGCTCATCACCACAGGGGATTGTCTTGCTGGCCCAGGAGCTCCTAGGGCGAGGCACGCATTTGCCTTGTGCATCCTGCAGAAACCCAGGGCAGTCGGACAAATAGACAGAGAGACATGAAGCAGAGTGAATTTTTTATTAGCAGCAGGTAGGAGGCATCATGTGCTCTCTGGATCCAAGAGAGAAAGTTCTTGCTGAGCAGACTTGGGTTGGTCACTCCTGGTAGCGAAGTGCTCCCTTGGAAAGCCCCTCACTGAAGGGGGTCCTCTGTAGAGGGACACGAAGGCCTCATGTGGGGTGTGGCGCTCGGCCATGGTGGGGCAGGGGAGGGAGGGAGGTCACTTACTGTAGTTCATATGCTAATGTGTTCACGCCCACTGGCCCAGGACCTGCACCTCCTAAGAAGTTGGTGGGCAGCACCTTTCTGGTTGTGCAGGTGAGCAGGTGGGGCTCTGCACACCACCACCCCAGCCCTCACCACTGCCTGCGTGGGTCACCTGCTAAAGGGAGGTCCAGCTCACAGGTGGCCATGGGCAGTTAGCCCGGAACTCATGTCTCAGGCTCCTAACCTGGAAGTCTTCTAATACTTGGAAGCTGAGCTGCTCCACAGGTTTGAATGGCAAAGCCACAGACTCTGCACGCAGGCCCAGCAGGACCAAATCCCACCAGTGACTGGCTCCGAGCCCTTGGTCAGTCTCTGTGCCTTCCTGAGCCTCTTCACTCACAACACCCACTCCTTATCTGAGTGGCCACCTCAAGTGCCCACAGAGGCCTGCAGCCTGGGGTTGGCAGGTACAGCTCCTCCAAAGCCCCGCTGAGGCCTGTGGCGCTGGACAGGGGGAGCTACGGAGGAAGAGTGTCAGGGGAGGGGGCCTCCGGAATGCATACCTAGGATGGGGTCCAGACACCTCATGGCACACTGGCTGAAGCAGCACTTTCTGTTGTCTGTACATTGGTCATCTCTGGAGCACTCACTCTGCTCCTTACAGGGCTGCGAGATCATCAGGGCCTGCATCTGGGGGCAGCGGCCAGCCTTGGGGGCAGATACTAGGGGAGAGACGGGCCAGCCCTTCATCACCCAAAGCCCTTTTACGCTCACCAGCCTCCTCAGATCCCTTACCCCAATACTCCCTTTTTTTAAATAGGGAAGTTGAGCCACATGGGACCCCCTTTTGTTGGTCTTGGGGCAGGACTCTCCCTTGGACCCTTGCTGCCTAGAACCCTCAGGGACCTCAGGGACAGAGGTGGGCGAGCCCCAGCTGGCCTTGGCAGGTTCTGGCAGGTGAGTGGGGCCCACACAGGCCAAGTGGATAGGCTGGTGCATGGCCACTAAGAGGGTGGTCTGAGGTGACCAGCTTTAAGTGGACCCTTGACAAAGCTGGTTCCTTCCTCCCCCATAGATGGGAGCCAGCGGCCCCTCTGCACCCCTTGGGTGATCTGTGGAGCTCAGGCCTGGTGGGGCATTACCGATGAGGGGGGTTTTGCAGGAGCGGCCGCAGGCACTGGGGCAGCACTTGGCATGGTTGAGACAGTCGTCATCGGTGCGGCAGGCTTGGACGCACAATGCCTCCTCCTCGGAGCTGGGCTCTGGGCACATGGCCTGCACTGCACACAGAACACAGGATGGGCAGGTGGGGGGGTGGCGCCCAGGGTCCCCTCAGGGGAAAGCAAGGTAGAGACATAGATGGGAAGAATGGGAGCCTGGCCCATTGCAGCCCAACCTGCCATTTCTTGGAAAGCAAAAAAAAAAAAAAAAAACCACCAAAAACATGATATGTGACAAAAGCACATGACGTCAGCTATGAAAATTAGGAAGCAAGGCCATAGGCCCACTGCAGGCGGTGGGAAGTTAAGATGCTGACCAGAAGTGACCAGGGCCTGAGGACAGCCCCTGCCCTGTTATCCCATCTCCCCCTTTCCTGCCATCCCTGGAGACCCTCCCAGGGTGAGCCTCCTCCGTTCCTCTTCTCCTCATTCTCTTTGCCAAGTGCGTCTTGGGGTGACACTGGGACTGGAGATCAGTCAGGGGGACCCTCCTAGGCATGTCCCTGGAGAGAGTTGAGCATCCCAGGCTTACCTGGCATGATGGGGGTCCGGGCCAGAGTGAGGGCCACCTCCAGGGCGAACAGGGCCAGTGCCAGGCTGAGGAGACAGCGCATGGTGACAGGTGGCAGTGGCGGGCAGGTGCAGATGGCAGCCTGAGGCCACAGGGTGCATTTAAAGGATGCTGCAGGAGGGAGGGCCCAGGCTGGCACTGCCCCATCTGGGTCTAGGAGCTTCCTCCTTGGACACGTGGAGAAGCCAGGCCCAGGCTTGGGAAGGTGGGGTGGCCACCACAACTGGGGTCGTATTTTTTAAATAAAAAAAAATCCTTAATGATGTCGATCCTTTTTCCCATTTTGAAAGTAATATATGTTTACCGTGGGAATAAAGAAAATTAAGGGCAGAAGAAATCAGAAATAGGATCCATTTTAAATGGTCGTGTAGGGGCCCTGCAGGGACAAAGTAAATGACATGTGCCAAAGTTGTGCACAGTCACGCAGGAAACAGAATAGGAGGCACATAGCAAGTACGGGGGCTTCTCACAGAGTAATTTATTTCTTTTGGGTTTTTTTTGTAGTTTTCTGAATTTTCTACCAAGAGAATGGCAGGCCTTGTGTTTATTAGCCAAACATTCCTTGCAGAGAATGTGGGGCATTGGATAGGGGAGGGGCGAGGCTCTGCATGGGAGTGTGGGGCTGTGGGTGGGGGTCCCTGTCTGTGCAGGGCGGCACTGGGAAGGCCTCTTCCCAGAAGGGGCTGTCCTGTGCCAAGTGAGCAGGCACCATGAGACAGGGGTGGGACGTACTGCCTGGGCAGAGTGCCCCTCTGCTCTGGGGGCATTTCCTTGATCCTCCTGCCCAGAGGGCCCAGACAGGGAGGGAGCTGTGGGGACTGTGCATGGAGCCGTCTGCAGTCTGCCCTGGAGACCCCATGGTGACTGTGTGCTTACCGACAGCCAGTGCCCAGCTCCTGGTCCAGGCTGTACTCCTGGCCAGTCGGGGACCCTTGCTGCTGGCTTTGGATGCAGAGCCCCTGAGAACTTCCCCTGGGGCCCTTGGGCTCTGCTACCAAACACTTGGATATTGCAGCCCAGAACACTCTTCCACTTCAACAGAAGCCAAGGTGTACCTCCTCTGTGTGCCCAGAGCACTGTGTGGCTCCGTCACGGCCCTTGCGCACCCCCCGTGCAGTTCTGGGCCTCATACCAGGCCCCTCCCGGGGTTTCCAGCACAGCTCTCAGGGAGTGGGTCTGCAGATACTGGCCATGGTGACTCGTCACCTCTTGGTCCCTCTCAAAGATTACAAAATGCTTCCCCACCAGCAATTTCACCTTGCTGGAAAGGAGGCTGTGCAGAGACCAGAGGGGAAGAACCAGAGCTCAGAGAAGTGAGGGGTGGCCGAGAGCATTGTCGCTCTCTGGCAGGCCCCCATGCCTTCTTCTCCCTGTTCTGCATCCCTTGCTGCCTACACCATGAGCGGGTTGGGCTGGGAGGTCTGAGTCCTCTCACATGGTGGGTCTGAAGGTGAGCTGACCCATGACAGGAACTCAGGCCCTCTGGTCTCAGCCACAGCTACACACTGTGAGTCCCCAGACCTGTCCCCATTGTCCTGTTTAGTGCCCTCCTCTCAGAGCCACGCTTCCTTCCCCAAATCTCCCATCTTTGCAGGGTGCCCCCAGGGCTGGCTATGCAATTTTTGGGGTACCTTGTTCAACAAACAAGAAAAAAGTGGTGGTAAAGTTGGTACAATACAAAGGTTATTTCTCTATTCCATAGTCTCTCTCTCTCTCCTTTCTATCTCGACTTGTCATGGTGCTTTTAACAATGCGTCAATCTAAGTAAATAAAAATTAAAATTTCGTGTTATTGGCATGGGTATTACCAGTCATCTTTATGTTGTGCAATGCCAGTTTAAATGCACACACAAGAGCAGTTAGGTCGTATGCAGAATCACCCAAATCACACATTTGTACTTTGTAGTTCGCATAGGCACATGTGTACAGCGGTGGAAATGCTGCACAGAACTAACTCAACTGGTTTTGCTTTGCTGATTTTTTTCCTCTTGTATTTTTTCTTTTCAGATCCATCTCTTGCTCTGAAGACACAGTATAAGCAGTTTTATTTTTTACAACACAGTGAACTGTGGATTGTGTGTGTCAGATTGAATGTTCCCTCCACTGCATCAAAACGCTGGAAACAACGGTGTGGCCAGATGCCTCCCTGAGGTCTGCTCGCCATCTTACGGTCATTCGTTTCTATATGCACTTTTATATTAATGAAGATAAAAAGTTGCATTCTTTATTTTTATTTTTTATTGAGATACAATTCATGTGCCATAAAACTCCCTCCTTTGAAGTGTATGCTCCATGGTTTTCAGTATATTCTCAGGATTGTGCAACTTCTACCTCTAATTCCAGAATATTTCCATCAACTGAAAAGAAACCCCGTGCCCACTAGCAGTGGTATTTCCTATTTCCCTCCGCCCCAGCCCCTGGCAACCACCGATCCACTTCCTTTCTCTAGGGATTTGCCTGTTCCGGACATTTTACATAAAAATAACCACACAGCCTGTCATGTCTGTGCTCTTTCACTGAGCATAGTGTTTTCAAGGTTCCTCCCTGCTGTAGCACGTGTCAGTGCTTCACCGCGTTAATGTACCATAATATTCCGGGATATGGATAGACATGCTTTGTGGATCATTTTTCACCGATGGGCACTGGGCTGCCCCACTGCAGGCGGCCGTGAGGGGTGCTGCTGTGAACACTCGCGATTTCACTCCTCCACACGCACACCTCCGCCCTTGGCTCGCTGACTGTCAGGAAGGTCCCTGGCCGCCCTTCCTCCCCCTGCCTTCTGTGCCTTCATTTGCAGCATAACTGGCTGGCTCTGTAGGGAAGAGGGCTGGTAGGGAAGGGCAGGGCAGGTTCCTTGGTCGCCTGTTTCTCAGAAGGTCATCGAGTTCTTCTGAGACTCCAGTTTGTTGGGAGCTGGGGCTCCCATCCATCTGCATCTTTTTTTTTTTTTTTTGTCTTTTTCCGTGTCCGGCAACGGATCGCAACCCTCAGTGTCGCCCCCGTACCGGACCGGGACCGGCAACGGGATTGCAACCCTCGGTGTTGCTCCCGCGCCTCGCTCAGCCAATGAGCGGGAACCGGTCTGTATGTGGGATCTGAACCCTCGGGCGGGAGCGCTGCCGCGCTTCCCAAGCGGCGCACTATCCAGTGCGCCACCGGGCCGGCCCCATCTGCATCTTGTTGGGACTCTGTGCACAGGGGGTGGCCAGGCCCTGGGGGACACGTGAGTCACATGCGTGTGTGTTGCAGCTCTGACGTGCATGCCCTACTGTCCTGCCCGACTTCACTTACAAGCACACATTCAGAGGCGAGTTTATTAAACATTTTCATATGGTGTCAGCAGAGTGTTAAATTGAGCTTGGACCCACATGACTGCACTGGTCACTGGCACGAAGTGATCACCCTGGAACCCCTGGTCCTTGAGCTCTCTAGGCCGCCACTGTGGCCCCTTTCCCCAGCTCAGCGGTGAGCCCTGCTGCAGCCTCTTGCCCTTCTGCTGGCTTGGCTCAGCCTTTCCTGGTCCATACCTCTGTCCTCACGCCTCTTGGGGGGTCCAGGCCATGCCCTCCCCTCTTCCCCCGACGCAACCCACTGCCCAGCCAGAAGCCATCTCCTGGCATGTCCACTCTGTGGACCCCCTGAGCTGCTGCGGCCAGAGTCGCTGTGCCCGGCCCCGGCTGCAGGAGCCCCATCTCCGGCCCACCAGCTCCTCCCTATTTCTGTCAGGGGCTCTCCTATGACTTTCACTCGCTCTCAGGGGACTGGATCCACTTCGCGGAGAAGACTGAAGCTGTTTGAAAGGCCATGCTGACCCCCAGCCACATTGGAAGTCCTGTATAACTTCGTATAATGTATGCTATACGAAGTTATGCCTCTGTGCACAGGGGGTGGCCAGGCCCTGGGGGACACGTGAGTCACATGCGTGTGTGTTGCAGCTCTGACGTGCATGCCCTACTGTCCTGCCCAACTTCACTTACAAGCACACATTCAGAGACGAGTTTATTAAACATTTTCATATGGTGTCAGCAGAGTGTTAATTTGAGCTTGGACCCACATGACTGCACTGGTCACTGGCACAAAGTGATCACCCTGGAACCCCTGGTCTTTGAGCTCTCTAGGCTGCCACTGTGGCCCCTTTCCCTAGCTCAGCGGTGAGCCCTGCTGCAGCCTCTTGCCCTTCTCCTGGCTTGGCTCAGCCTTTCCTGGTCCATACCTCTGTCCTCACGCCTCTTGGGGGGTCCAGGCCATGCCCTCCCCTCTTCCCCTGACGCAACCCACTGCCCAGCCAGAAGCCATCTCCTGGCATGTCCACTCTGTGGACCCCCTGAGCTGCTGCGGCCAGAGTCGCTGTGCCCGGCCCCGGCTGCAGGAGCCCCATCTCCGGCCCACCAGCTCCTCCCTATTTCTGTCAGGGGCTCTCCTATGACTTTCACTCGCTCTCAGGGGACTGGATCCACTTCGCGGAGAAGACTGAGGCTGTTTGAAAGGCCATGCTGACCCCCAGCCACATTGGAAGTCCTGGGGCTCTCAGCATCTGACCTTGGGGTTCAGGGGATGGCCTCCCTCCTGGCCGAGGCTGGCCCCCAGCTTGGGGCTGCTTCCAACCCCCATTATTCCCTTCATTAGTGTTATTTCTGGAAAAAAGCCACAGGCTTACAAGGCTGAAAACGCACAGGCCAGAGCAGGAGTGGCTCTCCCACTCGACCACCAGCCTCCCGTTCTCTTTCCTGATCTGTACATTACTCTTCTCCAAGGTAATCGAAAGTACAGCTTATATATACATTGCTCCCCTTTCTTTTTCTTTTCTACTTGGAGGTATCTTGGAGGGTCCATTGGTTTAATGACACACGGACCTGCTTCTGAGCGGCTTAGTCACCACAGCTGGAAGTGTCTACGTATTGGCCAATCTCCTATTGATGGACATTTAGGTTGTTTCTGATTCTTTGCTACCACAGGTGACCCAGGATATCTGCAGGGTACAAGCATAGAAGTGGAATCCCTGGGTCAAAGGGTCTGTGCGTCATCTGTGTGGCAGGTCCTGCCC